CTTCCCCGCACTCCCCGGCTTTCTGGGAAGTCACTCTGCGGGAACAGGAACGCAGTGCGCCCCCGGAGGGCGGGGAACGGGATTCCGCCGGCCTTTCCGCGCGGCCTGTGTCTAACCCCGGGCCTGGTGGTGGTTGCGGCGTAGGCCTCGGCACCATGGATTCCTTCTTGACTCTGCTGCACTCTTTCTCCTCGAGCTTGTCGGACAGTGAGCTTTCTTCCCTGAAGTTTCTCTGCCGGGGGAAAATTGGGAAAAGGAAGCTTGAGTCTGTCCAAAGCGGCACGGAGCTCTTCATCATTCTCCTCGAGCAGCAGCTGATCACAAGCGACAAGGTATCGTTTCTTGAAGAATTGCTTGAGAGCATTAAAAGAGAAGATTTGATCGCGCAGCTAAAGCGTTTCGTAGAGGAAGGAGAAGTTAATGCTCCTGATGATCAGCCAGACGTGCATGAAAAACGTAGGTGGATCGTTTTGTTTTAATTCCTCCCTGCCCCCAAAACAACCCCTTTCTATGCTTTCTCTGGCAGTGGGTATGCCTAGAGCAGGGGCTGAGCACGGTCTCCTCAGTTCCCTTAGCCCACTGCTAAGGGTGCTTCTGCTGCTAGCTGCAGCACGGAACGCTGTTGTACCCTGGAAACGTACCAGGAGGGCAGCATATGCTGCAAACAGTTTTCTGGGGTGGAAATTTCTTCCCCTTCTTTTTTATTGAATGCTCCCTTGGAAATCCTGCTTTGTATCTGGGATTCCAGGTGTATCCAGCGGCCTTTCAGCTCATGGGGTAACTTTCAGTATGTGCCATGCAGCAAGAGTAGTAGCATTTTGCTTGGAAAAAAAAAAACAAAACACCCCAAAAACTAACTTTAAAAACATTTCTCATATTTCTTAGTAAATGTATCACTAACTCGATATATTTCTGCTATTTCAGGTCTTCTGGAGGTAGCTATTGAAGTTATATGTGAAAATGTCGGGAGAGACTGGAAAATGCTGGTGCGAAAACTTGGCGTGACTGAAGTGAAAATGGACAGAATAATAGCAGCCAATCCATTGAACTTGCGTGAGCAGTTGTTTCAGTCGCTTCGTGAGTGGCAGAAAGCAAAGGGAAAAGATGCAAAGGTGGCCGACTTAATTGCAGCTCTTCGGGGCTGTAAAATGAATTTGGTGGCAGACAGAGTTGAACAGACACTCTTGCCACTGAATGCTGGAACCAGGTGAAATCAAGATAAAAATGCTTCCATGTCCCAGAGGTGGGGATGAAAAAAGTGCCTTCTATTCTTCTGAACCAAAATCAGGATCATTGGCTCTGTTACTTAGGTGCCATTAATTTATGTGCCTGAATAGGTTGATTTGTGGTCAGGTAATGCTTTGTAGTTTTTATGCTTGCTTGAAGAGATTTTAACTTCTGGGTGACCTCAACTACGTTTTGTAGAAATTTTCACACTTTTGTCCTACAACCTGCCTGAAAACAAGATTTGCTTTACGGCAGGTACTTTTCAGACACATCTTCTCTGGATATACATCCGTGGGACACTTCCAAGGCGACTGCCATTTAAAATTTCATGGGGAGGTTGGGTGTTTTGTGTGTGTGCGTGGCCTGTTATAACTGTAGCCTGAAAGGGGGAGGGAGTAGGCCTCTCAGGTGCATACTGGGTTTTCTTTTTGAGTAGCATACAGTGTTACATGACTTGTCAAATACACTTCCACTCTGTAAAGGGATACTGACAGCTGTAACCTCAGACCCCAGGGCTGCAGTGCAAGAGGGCTAGTAACTATTGTGGTAGATTTTTCTTGGAAGAAAATGTGCCTGTGTTGAAATCAAATGTCTGTATCGAGTGCCTTCACCATCCTGAAGAAAATGTTCTCCTGAAGCTATCAAAGAAATGATGTGCCTCAGATGTTCACAGCAGCCTTTTTTTCCTGCTGTGACTGTTTTAAGGTCCTGTACTAGGAATCTTTTCGTAACCTATATTACAAATTCTGGTCATGTCTGCTGGAAGGTGCAGCTCACCTCCTGAATAACCTTCAGTTACCTGTGCTCTGGGTAACAAAAATGTGTACTGTAACCAAAGCCAAAACAAGTTGTTTTTTTCTTAGTCGAGGGGGTGTAAAAGCCTACTGAGAGCAGGTATACAGTAAGGACTTTAGTGATGCCCTGTGAAGATCAGCTGTCTTTCAAAGGTCGCTCCAGATCCAATAGCTCTTCCAAGTCCTCTGCAATTCATTCCTGTTCCTTGACGTTTTTTGAAAGTGTTTGTAAGCAGCTCACGGAGGAAAGAGGATTTATGAACGAGACCAGATTCAGTTTTCAGCTTTAATTTGGAACAGATGCCAAAAAATGGCCTTCACACCTCGCCTAAGGCTGGAAAATTGCACAAGCTTGAAGGTGTGCAGGGCTGTAGAAGATCCCCAGTGCAGGTGGGGGAGAAGTCCTCTGAAATCATTACTGCTTGAAGGAGCAGGGTTGTTTATCTGCACACATGCTTCTAACTACACAAATAGACACTTGAAGATGAGAGGCTTCTTTTTTGACACTGGACCTGCGTGACTTTTGGCTCCTTTAAGTTCTTTTTACATGGTGCCGTTACTGCGAAGGCCGGTTGTCAGCACATCTGTACCTCTGCTCTGCATAGGTGTTACGACCCTGGTAACTTTCAAGTGTTTTTGCACTTGGTGCCTCTGGATGATGACGCTTGAATACTTGCTTTTAGTTAATGGAAACTGCTGTAATTAAGATTTTTCCTTAAACAATTCTTACGACTGTTTTTTGATTGTAGTATATTAACTGTCAGTGATTGTGGCCGGGCAAAGTAGCTGTGGGTGATGCAGAAGGTCCCACTCGCTGCCTTTTGGGCAGGTGCAGTTCCCCAAGTCCTTGCTCCAGTACTTGTCAATGTTGGTTGTCAATCCCAGATTTCCAGCAGGCGACGCAGTGCTGCACTTCAGCTGAATGACAAGCACAGTTTTGGGGGTTTCATTAAGAAATACCTCCTTGAAAGGAATGGAACTTTCTTTTAAAAAACATATGTATTCTGGGATTGCTGTCTGTGATGAGATCTGTATTTGGGAGGAGACAAGTGTTGACACTTCTAAAGCAAGGAGTGGTGCTAAATGTGTGTTACGTTGCCCACGTCCTTCTTGGAACATTAAAAAAAAAAGAAAGCAAAAAAGCTTTGTCACTGAACTTCTCAAAAGTGCTAAAAGGGCTGTAGTTTTCCTAGCAGGAGTAGTCTTTGAATGCTGCCACTCAGGGAAGTGTAAGGAAAAAAACCTCTCTGCCAGCCCTCGGGAACCTGCAGTTGCGTGCATGGGAGATGGGCCTTCTCTAAGTGCCTTGCAATTGTATTCCTTGTCTAGTCATGCTGCGGGGAGAATGTTGTAATTGTTTTATAATTAATTGGTAACTTGGCGTATTCTGGATGTGTTCAGAAGTTACTGATAGGCGCTTCAGTGCTCTGTGAAGTATGTACCAGCACCAAAGTGCTAGCGCACGTGTAAAGCTTTGGGCGCGTAAGACAAGTAACGTAATTACCCGTCTTTTCGAACCCCCTGTGATACTTTGCAAGAGTATCTGCCTGTAAGGAATTACTGAGACCTTTTCCTGTTGGTTTCTTGAGAGTCTTTGTTTCCTTACAGCCTTGAGAAAACAACACATCAAAAGATCTTGAGGGTAAAAAGTGTCATCTTGGGAGAATTCTCAGTTTTGGAGGACTGTTTTTCTGTGTTGCTTCAGTCCCTCACAGTACTTGCTTGCTGTTTGCTCTGATTGTTGAAGATGCCAATTATATATCACGTGAAATTTTGTATTTCAATTGCGTTATTTTCATTACTGAGTTAAGACATTTTCTAGCCTGTGAATTAAAAATCGTCTCATACCAATTGGTTGTTGTGAATGTTCCAAGTACAATGCTTTGTTTTCCTTTTTCTCCATTCCCCACATACAGGCGGCTGTATTTCCTCCAGCCTTTGTTTCAGTCCTAAAATGACCAGCTCCTTTCTGAAATCTAATTGCTTCATTTGATTGTCTAACGCAGAGAGTTTAGTAACACTTGGTGTATCTCCGAGCTCACTCTGGCATTTTCTTAGTTCAGGCTTTTTGTTTGAGTATTTTTCAATTTAAATCTCTTTCTAATCACTGTCCTTGTTTCTTCCGTAGTTACCAAAATTGGTTTGTGCTATTCTTCCCACTCTCTGCATGGATCTCCTATGTCCTTAAATGTGTTCCAGCATGGAAAATATTTTTCTAAAGTTGTTTTCCCTCTTTGATTTACTACTACTTTCCTCGGCCAGTGTTTTTATTGCAAGGATACACCGGTAGAATTACAGAAACTAGGTCACTGTTTCAGCTGCACACCATAACAACAGGAGTTGTGGGGGTGAGATGAGGGGTAAGGGAAGGAGTTCCGAGTAAAGGTTCAAGAACTTCTGGAGAATCTAGCTTTGTCTTGGTGAAAAATTTCGTATCTGAGGATTACTTAACACGTGGAAAGCCAGGAAAGTGCAGCTTAACACAGGCATCTGCGTGGAATAAACTTTCTGGCCCTCTGAATGACTGAATAGGCCAAAGTTTCATCCACAGAGCTATTTCTGCTACTGTGTCATTCTTGAGAGCGTTACACATTCATTTCTTAAAACAGACTAAAAATAACACAAGTCTGTTCTTGTAAAATTTTATGTAATACATGTTATTGAAATATGTTAAGTTGGTAATACTGGTTGAGTTTAAATTTGGCAATTCCTGTGGATTGGTCAGTGTTGCAAGGTGAAAACTTTCTCATTATTTTCCAGATACGCTGTGTACAGTTCTGCCTGTATGGATAGTAACATCTTTTTCCCTTTTTCCCTTTTTCCCTTTTTTTTCCCTTCAGCTTGGGGTTTAGTCTCCCAAAGAAAAAGGCAATGATGTGTGTACGGTTCTTAGGACAGCTGTTGACGTAACCGGCTACCGTAGTAGAGTTACGGTTTTGGTATGTACTCTATTAAGACTCGGAAGAGGTTGATATATCAAAGCAGTGTCTCTAAAGAGGTTTTGAGGGTTACATCTCCAATACAGTGTAGTAAGTACCTTTGCTAAGGAAAGCAGCGTAATGCCGACCTTGTACGTGTAGTGCTTCAAGAAGTTACCAGACTGGCACCTTTATTTGCTTCCTAGTGTTCAGGCCTTCAGACCAGGCTCCTGTGCTGTGCAAAGCCACACAGAGATAAAATAGGACCAATTTCATCAGAGATGTGGAAAACATCCCACTTGCGATTTTCTGTGGTAGGCATTTTATTTACAGGTGAACCTAGTTTTATTGGACTTTCACATAAAGCAATAATCTTGCAATTTTAAATGTTCACAATTTTTATAGTGTTTTGTTTTCAACTTCTCGGTTCCATTATTGCCATTGATCCCAGCAGGACTAGTAACTTCAGAAAACAATTTGCAGAGTTTAATCAGTGAGCTCTTCTTACTGTGGTCTAACTTCTAAAGGGTTTTTAGCAGCTGCTCCGGTAGTGCAAGCACGACCTGTGGCAAAGATTTGTCCAAAGCTGGTACCAGATTTTACATACAGTGAGCATAGAAATCGTGAGAAGGGTTTGGTATAAAACTTAAGCTACAAACCCTCTCCTGTCATTAATGTCTTGAGGTTTGGAGTGTTGACAGGCTTTTCTGTTGAGAGTTCTACAAAATTAGCTCGTCTTTTTCACATTTTTCATAATTTATAATTTAAAAACCAAAACATTTTAAAAAAAAAGAAATAGGTTCCCACATCTGTTAATTAAAAATGAACTAAAATTGTGAACTATCAAGCTAAATGCTTGTCTTTTTTTTTTTTTTCCCCCCCAACCAGCAGCCTACCTGAGAGGTGCTTCCTGTCACTTCTAGGCATATTACCAAGTTTTGAAGAAAGAGTTGCAGAGAAAATGGGAATGAAAAGTGTGCAGCGCCTGGCAGGTCTGGGCACAGGGTGTGTGGATCCAAAGCCTGTATTTGTTGTCTTTCTGTTACACTCCATGTGCGCAGAATTTAGTCACCGCTTCCTGGCTATAAAGTCCCTAATGTGGGAAACACGTGGATAGCCTGAATTACCCCCAAAGTCATTATTCCTGTGGTGGCTGCCGCGCATGGCATGCAGCAGGCTACATTCTGGCCATCCCAGCCAGCTGAACGATGTTGGGAAGCTGTTACTAACTGATATCTGCTGTGGTCTGTGGTCAGTGATGGTGTCAGAAAT